AAACAGTAAAATATAAGCTTTTTATCGACATTACAAGCGTGTAACAACTTGTCCTCTATTTGAAATTCGGTATTGCATGAAGCTATAGGCCTACCCAACAAGAGTGTTGGGGACTGACTGGGAGTAAGGGAGATGTAAACTAACTAATATATTCCATACAACAATCGCTACAGTGAAAGAGTTCTATTGTGCTATGCACGGGGGTAAAATACATCATGGACGTTGGAAGTTTACCAGCTTTCACAAAGACCTAGTAGAAGACATGACAAAACGGATGTACAATAAAACTGGCGCTACCAAAAGCTATGGAGGGACGGCGTGGCCGATGGATAGAATGCTACCACAAAGGTCTAGAGTTTCGATTTTGGTCTGGACGTCCTTGAGTCCACTTACATATATATATATATATATGTATATTATATATATATATATATATATATATATATATATATATATATATATATATATATATATATATATATATATATATATATATATATATATATATATATATATATATATATATATATATAAGATAAGCGTTAAGGAAGATTACTTCCGCTTTACCATTGTGGTTATGCTGACAAATGTATTCTCCCCCTCCCCCGTCTAACACAGCCCCCACACACAGCCCGCTTTAAGCACCCCAAGAATTTCCACTCACATTATAATGTCCCAGGTTTTTCTCCATACCATATGTAAATTCTGTTGTTTTGAACGATAATTAGCATGTAGACGACTGTATTTGTATCACATGTAAACATCAGTTTTTTGTAAGCTAGTTATTGACATCGGCTGTCTATGTCATCTGGAAATGTCGGGTTTGTTTTGAAATTAAGTTATTTATAATGTAGACTGTCTATTTACAAAGTATATGTCAGTTTTGTTTTGTAAGTTAGTTTTGACATAGAACTGATTGTCTACGTACAATGTAATGTTGGTTTAGTTTTGTAAGTTAGTTGTTAATAATATTTTGTCTACGCCATATGTATATGTCTGTTTTGTTTTGTACGTTAGGTATGACATAAGCTGCCTATGTTTATGTTCTAGGACAGGTAAATGTCGATTTAGTTTGGTAATTTAGATATGACGTGGGCTATGCCAATATCTATGTCCTATGCATTCTTTGGATTTTTTTTTTTAAACAAAACACGTGTCGCCAGTATGAAAGGCTCACACAAATGTTACACGCCAAGCGCTTGAGTGGAACCCCCAGGGAAAGCGGAAGAGAGGGCGCCCAAGACAGACCTGGAGGCGGAGTCTTCTTGAAGAACTGAAGCCAATAGGGATGTCTTGGGAGATGTCAAAATTAATAGCCGAGGATAGGAAGAAATGGAAGGAAATGGTGGAGGCCCTATGCTCCATAAGGAGCAAAGAGGACTAAGGCTAAGGCTAAGGTGTCGCCAGTATGAGCTAGCCAGTCACGTGCTCAAATATATTTGTCTATTCAACCATGAAATATCTCATACTCGTGGGTTCTCAAGGCATATCATCGGTCTCTTTGATTGATTCTCGGCCCACGCATGGATGAGTAAAAACTACAAGGTCTTAGTGTGTTTGAATACAGATGTTATTTATGAGAGAATATATTATAATACGAAGTGACTGCTCGGAAAAAGCATCTTCCAGCGCTATCTGGCCGGCAGAAGATGCAAAACGCATTTGGCTCAAATTAAATACTATCAGTAGCTGCGCAATGGACTCCTTTATATTTATTCCTTTATAACTGCGCCAATAGGATTAAATTATCCTTTTGGCCTTATTCTTCTGACAAAACTATCTGTACCGTGTGGTAGAGCAGTTTCGCTTTCGGGCGGGTCGTCAGGGGTTGAGGGTTCATACAGTTCTTAGTATTATTTAAAGTATATCTAGCATACAGTTAAGTATAAAATATATTTTTAATCAAATTTAAAAGGCTATTTTAATCTACTATTTAAGTATTTCTTATGTTAATCCCTGTCCCATCAAGACAACACATAGACATAAACAGCAAACATAAAGATGACAAGAAAAACTAGGTAATAGTTGAGTGTGTATGTTTAATTGTGTGACCTTGTTTTCTAAAACTGTGATAGTTGAAATGTAAACAACGCCACAGCTATTTTTTCCCACGTTTTCTTTAACTTGCTTTCGCGTCTGTTTGTTTGTTTGTCTTTCCATCAACTCTTGCGATCGAAATTTCGGGCACTTCCCAGTTAGCTAGCGCGCTGAAATTTTCAGGGAAGCTTTGTTTCCGATGACAATACAATATTCAGTTATTATTATTACTAAACTGATCCATGGAAAAAAATTTTTTGATCATTTTAGACTCCTATTGATTTGTACAAAAAAGGGACATAACCTAGTAATTGTAATTTGATAAAAACAAGGTTCGGTACTTTCCCCTGCAATGAGGAATGTCTACAGGAGATGGAAAGAATGCGTCGACACGAACTTCCTGCTTACCCTGAATAATAAGCATGTCATGCCTGGTATAATTCCCTTTTATCTTTGTGTTCGTCCTTTATGAGTGTTTGTCTTCGTTTACTCAAAAAAAAAAAAGTGAATGCGAGAAGATAAAATCGATAGCAAGATTTGAATGCAAACAAACAGACAAAGACTACTTTTTAGTTCAATCAGAAAACGTGGGTTTTTAAAATTGTTTTTAATGATAATTATTTTAGAACTTTTGCTGCGGGGAGCGAGTTGGTCCACACTACCGATCAGACGCTCTGGGACGTGCTGTGTGAAGGAGCTGACTGTACGTTAATCATCCTCCGTTATAGTGAGGTTGAACACATTTCTGCGAGTACCTAGGTGTCAGGGGCGTCGCGGGAACGACCGGTTACACTACCTTATGTAGCCTGGTGCAACCACTGGTTCGTTTTAATGATCGAACGTAGAGGCCTAGTGTGTCCATTTTGTAGAATATTTGTATGATTGGTGTCATCCGTACACCGGGGGATCCTTAGGTAGCTGCTGGTGAACTCTGGGCGCCGAACCGTTACTACTGCTGATGCGCTGGGGGACACCCCTTACTCGGTTAGTATCCATCCGTATCACTAGTGTAAACTACGGCGCTCGTTAAAACGAATAAAGGCACCGTAGTACTCACGAGGGAGCCCTGGGCGCACCGAGTAATAGGATCATCAGGGCGCCGGCGGATGCGCCTGTGCTATTTGACAGCTGGATCAAGTAGTTACGCTGACCCGCTGGGCCTGACACCCAATCCACGGACCCAGATGCAGAGATAGCCTCGGGGAATCTCTGTGTGGCAAACCGCACCGCCTTTCTGTCGGGGCGCCGCCCTCCAAAATAAATAAAAATTTAATGGCAGAAACTTCCCAAAAGTCAGAAGTTCTTCCTGGCACCTTTTCAGAACAATGTCTTCCCAAAATTTCTTGGCGATTGGGTGATAACTAAAAACTTATAGTGTTAGTGGCGCCATATTGATTAACGATTAAATATATCAACACATGAAATGTCATCAAGGTAAAAATGACTAGCAAAACATTGACAAATGGTCGACTTAGCTTGTTGAGAAAACATTGACCATAATTGTTATTTTTAAAAATGGCTAAATTGTTATCATGGATGTTTAGTAGGATGAAATTTTTAGGGGAGGGCAGACAGTTGGGAGTGAGGTGCAGGCCTCTCAATGGTTTGCACGACTAAGCGGCAACTCCTGCAGTGTTATTATTAAGGATGGGGGCTGTTTGATCCCCCCACCCCTTCCCCACTAAATCCCATTTCATGTACAGTAAGAATGGAATACGGGGCCCTTTTTGGAACTTTTAATTATTTCTACAGTAGAAAAGAAACTGAACTTTCATTTTCTTCTTACAAAAGTTTTAATTTTTTTAGAGGGAAAAGGGCCCCTATGCCTTGCTTACGCTAGCTTTACGGTAGCTACGCCACTGAGTTGGAGGTAGATAGCGTTAGAGAAGGTTTGATCAGTCGAGTGTTAGCAGTTAGACGTGTTTAGGAAGAAGTTGTAGGTAGGTATTGTTAGGAGTATTGTTAGCAGATCGTTGAGTCGGGCTGAAGATTAGTTAGGAGTAGGAGATCAATTTGTGTTAGAATAAAGAAAGTTATATTATTATCTTGGATTTGACCTTTGTGCTTGTTTCAATCACTAAACTGTGACAGGCTACATTTTAAACAAGACGATACGATTCCAGGACAGAGTTTCTTCCCCGAACGAAATGAAATGTATAATGTATATAATTTATATAGATAATATATACTTTTAACAGTGTCCGCCCCCCCCCCCCCCCGAAAATTTCAAGTGCCCGGAGAAAAAAGTCTGGAAGAAACACTGTTCCAGGACTGGATGTGTATTATAGTATACATTACGGTATACGAATAGATACATTTATATCGACACAACCACCCCCCTCACATACAGCTATGCGGATGTACATGTTTTTTTCAGTTAGAATCGTCCATTATAATTAATTCATCCAAACAACTACTGTCAATAAACGTATAAATTATACATTTTTAGCAACAACAAATGACTCACATGAGCTGGCCGTCACTTGGTACAATAACTCTGTGTCACCTTACCCTAACAGTGGCGTAGCGAGGGGGGGGGGCTGGGGTGCGGACCGCACCGGATGACACCATTTTAGGGGGGTGACACCAAGTTAAAAAATTGCTAAAAATGATAATTCCACTTAATTAAGTGATTAATTCGAGTGTTAAATAGTCTTTTAAGAGGTGGAAATCAAAAGTTTAAGGGGGAGGGGGTCGCTCTGTCTATCTTATTAAATTTCAATTTTGCCAGTATTTTCGTTTATAATCAAAGTTTTTGTGTCAACATATAGATCTAGAATCTAGATTTAAATTAAATTTATTATTATTATTTTAAAAATTCAGTTGTACTTAAAAGGCGAAAAAGTTTTCACGGTAGTCGCCCTTCGTCTGTTTACAAATGGTTGTCATCCATAGTAACGTCTATATTTAATTTTTTAGGCATCTCCCAAATCAAAGCTAAACACACAATATATGTAAGTACCAAACAAAAATAATTTAATGACAGTTTTTCAAGAATCTTGATGAGAAAAGACTACTAATTTTCATCGGTGAAATATTTAAAAAAAAAAAACGAGCTAAGACTTACAAATGTAAGCCCAAGGCAAGGCCAAGGCGAAAGTACTCTTAGTCTACTAATAATTGTAAGTCTACTTCACTCAGTCTCAGTACTTCCGACCTAGCTAGGCAGTGAAATTGAATAGTACTAAAACTTACATATTCTATATATCTAGATCTAGTAAGACGTAAAAGTACTAAGTAGTAGATCTAGAATTCTAGATCTAAATTCTATTTCTAATTTGAACACTACTTACTAACTAGTAACTAAGGCATTCATTAAGAATATATTAAGACACTATACTATATAAGTAGTACTAACTAAGACTAAGAGACATTTTACGTCTAAAGTCCAAGTCTAAAGGTAAGGTGACTTAAGAACTTAGGGCTTAAGACTAAGACTATGCTAAGTTCAGTATTATTACTTAACTTACCAACTACTACTAGATCTACTACTACTACTAATGATAACTAATTAGGTAATTAGACTAGTTACTCCACTACTAACATAAATACTAATATTAATATTATTATATTATAATATAATAATGTAACAGTCACAACAGTGTAACTGTAACTGTTACACTTAATTACACTGTAACTAGTGTAACTGCAACTCAAGTAACTGTAACTGATTAGATTTAGAAATTTAGATTGTCAAAGCTAATTACAATTAGCTGTTACAATTAGCTATTACTTATCATTAGAATTAATGTGATTCAGAGTGAGGTATGGGAAGGTAGAAATTTTTAAAAATTAATTTAGGGAATGATTTGTGTAATTTTTTGTGAGGACATGAGGGTTGAAGATAAAATTCAGCTTGATAAGTATAACGCCTTTAATAAACAATCCCTTAAGACAGGTGATATGCTCAATTTTACATTAACGATTACATTAATGATTATTTTTTAATTAATGGGGTCATAAAATTGTGTTTTAAACACAGTAAAAAATGATCTGATTAATATTATTAATTTCTTCATACAAAAATGGAGAAAGTACGCAAAAGTGCAAGAAACCCATTATGACGAAAAATCAGGATTCGAGTGGTTATTTTGCTGCGCATATCCCCTAAACTGTGCATTTGTGCCAGATTTAAACCAGCAATATAAAATTAAGGCTAAGTCATTTGCGTCTTTGCTCTAAAATGTCCTAAACTCCCATTGCAGATAAAAGGAAATTAACATGGCAGCTACAAATATTGGATATGAGCTGTTGCAAAACAGTGCTCCAAAACAGAAGGAGACTGTTGACTTTGTACCTGATCGCATGATGCCTGTCTCAACAATGCACAGAATGGCCTTAAAAGCTCAAGAAAAAATTATTCTCCTGATGAACAATACTTGCATGCTCACCAGACACCATCGACTAGGTAGCATGAATGATGTCCTGATATATCTAACAGTATGTATTTTCCAGATGTTTAAAGAGTTATCGTGTGTGTTTTGGAAATTATGTGTATTTAAGATAGGTCTTAAAGTTGATTATACATCCCAAAATGGATTATATGAACATGTTACCACAGATTAGCATTGAAACAACATACACTTTCATTAATAATGAGGGTATGAAAATATCTAAAAACAAACATTTTCAGAAGTTGAAATGAGTGTAGAAACAGTCCTTTATGTATTACCAAACTTTGAAATTATTTATATGAGTTTTTCATTTCATAGTAAATTAAATATTTCATGTTTTTAAAACTTCATTTGAGAAATATCTTATTAAAACAATCACTTCATCAATGGTCTATGTTTAAAAAATAAAAGAAAGCTTTTCAAGCATTTGTGATACATTGAGCAATGTTAATCCATCAGTACAAAATGTGTGCGCAAAAAGTGTATGTGTGATACTTCCATTTTAAAGATATGGTAATGAGCAACTTTAACGATTATTAATATTGTACTAATTGAATTAAAACAAAATACAAGCTTACCTATATTGATTTGTAGCTATTTAAGTGTAGACTAAGTTCATATGAGAATGTTGTATCTATAACATTCAACACAGCTACAAATATTTCAATCAATGATAACTTGATATATTTCCAGGGCAATCATGAAGATCAAGGCATGCCGGGGGACAGAGGAGACTTCTACAGAAGAAAACTTGCTGAACAGCTCTACCTCCATTACTCTGTTCAAAACATAGACCACATCAACATTCTGGCCCTGATCGAAGGTCTGATACGCCTTGAACATGACTGCAGAGCTATCCTGTCCGCCCGTGCTTGCCAACGATCAACTGCTCCGCCAGTCAATGTTGATGGCCAGATTTTAAGTGTCATTGGCCGCCTGGCAGAAATTCATTAGACATCAGAAATTAATATACCTAACCTATGTAAAGATTATGGTTAATTCATAAAACCACAAACAGTTTATAACATGTATATTTCAAAGAGTTATCAAATAACAGTATAGGTTTTATGTTAATGTTGTTAAAATCACAGGAAAGAAAATGATTTACCAAAGATTTCTGTCTATTGTAAAAATGGTTAATAATTTAAAGATACTGGTAATGTAGATTTAATACTATTATACGCTAATGGTACATTTAGTTTAGGTTGGTGTAATTGCTCTAAATGTCATTTCAGGACTAGCTTTCTAATAAAAGCCATCGAATAAAGCCTTAACAGTCTTCCTTTTTTTTCTAAGCCTACTAGAAAAAAAGGTTGAGTGTGCCTGGGGAGAAAGGGACATATTAAACACACTTAAAATATTACACAAAAAAACATAGCTAAAACAATCTGGAATAGATCGCTCAAAAAATGCAGTGAAAACTTCATCTGTCAACTGAGTAATCTGAAAATGTCTTCAGCTAATTCATTTAAGTTATTATTGATTTTCACATAAATATTAATAGAAGGGTGGGTGTGTTGTAATTAATCATATATGTTATGAGGCCTCATTATGTTACATGGGGAGGCATTATAGAGACATGTAATTTAACATTTATATTTAAAATGTAGGCCTATACTTATTGCTGCTAAATTCCTGCTGTTTAGCTTGTAAGAGTAAGTTGACACAGCAGGTCTTAACAGTTTTAAAAAAAAAGTTTTATAAAGTTAAAGTTGTCAAGCATTTTTATAAATGGGCTTATGTGATTCATATTATAATATAAGTCTATTGGTGCAGGGTTTCATTTAGATATTTTCTAGGGTGGGGGGGGGCACTTGAAACTTTTGCATGGGGAGGGGCGGCAGTAAATATTTTCCGTATAACATGATTAAAGAATGATTTTTGTAATTCGATAATGGGGGCAGTGGATCTCTTTGTGGTGGGGGGGGGGGGAACGCCAACGTAGTACAGAAACTCTGGCGTGGTGTCAGTTGAAGGGGGTGTAAACATTGCGTCGTTATTACCAACACTATTATTTTATTTTTATGTTCAGTCTTCATCTAGATCTAGAACTTTTTGGGCCGAATAAAAATACTGCGAACGTACAAATAACTAGGGTTTTTCAAGGTAGACTACTCTAAATATATTAAACGTGTCAGGAATTCTGTAAGTTGCGGCTAGTTGATTTCTCTTTGTTATTGTTTATATTATTAAATTAAATCACATTACTTGAAATTTATCAATTCTCTTTGGGAAGTTTGGGTACATCTAGATTCTAGATTTAGATCTAGACCTCTAGATTCTAGATCTAAGTACTTGTAGTATTTAGTAGGGGAGGGCAATGTTAATGACCACCCGGAGGAGCCCCTGCCTGCCCTAGCTAAAAGTATAGATCTAGTAGTATACTCAGTATAGCTATAATAACCGTAACACACTCACACACTCTATGAAACTCTACTCTAACTCTAGCTAGATCAGTCCAGATCTAGACTTAATTAATAATAATTAAGTTGGTAGACTAGATCTAGAATCTAGATCTAGTACTGGTCGATATTTTTAGTCGACCCTCTGTATTAGTCTGTATCACTATTCACTTCTAATAGACTTCTATCTAACAGAACGAACTCCTAGTGTTGCCTCAACCAACCTGCTGTCGCATTGAGTAAATATTAATTAAATATTAGTATTATTATTAGGCGTAATGAAAAAAAGTAAGTTCAAAACAATGTTATAAATATAAATATAGGCCTAAACAATCTCATTTTAATAGGCAGGCCACATATCACACACAGCATTGTGATTGTGTTGTGCCTTAACTTAATCAATATTCTTCATAAACCATTGTCAGTACTATGTTTCATAATGTTCCTTGGTTGACCCAGCTCTGATTGGTACCTGACTCACATTAGGAAAATTAAAGGCGGTTTGGTGTAGTACTAACCACACTATTTCTTTGTATGTGGCAAGGTAATTGAAATAGTTGATCTCTACTTCACTTGCTGCATAGACTGGCAGGTTTAAAAGGGTAACTTACTTCACCTTTGGCCTTTGTTTTAAATTTGGAGACTATTTAGTAGGTTAATTAAATATTACGAGGTGACCCGCGCCATAAACATACACCACTATTTAGTTGTTTTATTTTCTACTTTTCAGTAATTCATAATTTGTCAATTCAACTACCAATGACTGAAAATATTTTGTTTTAAAACATTATCAGTAGCTCGTGAAGGTCCATTATCCTCACTACTAGGAGTAGGCCCCATATAATTAATATTTAGGAATCCAGCTTAGTAATGTAGGCAGATTAAAGATATGATCCACAATATCAAATAATATTTGCAAGACAAAATGTCCATAGAAGGTCCATGTAAATATTCATAGTCATACATATAAGAAAACAAAATGTAATAGCAAATATTACTTTATTGAAATCTTTAAACAGGCCTGCAAATGCAATAGTTTCTTGTGCAGTGTTTTTCTACTCATTTGATGGACAACAATCTGTTATGGACTCAGAGACTGAAGAAGAAGTTGAAGCTTTGAAAGCAATATACTGTAAAGAAGGGGAATTCTTTGAAAATAGAGGTAGATCTAGTCATATTTTATTTTACAAGAACTTTTATTAGGTTGTCTACTACAGTGTGAGTGTTTTGTGAGCTCATCATACTTATATCTTGAGGTTTTTCACTCTCAGCCAGCTTAATAAAGATCAGAAAATGTTCAGTAAGCTAATGTTAATGTCAATTCACCTTTGTTAATTTTCAAGTTTCAAGTGTAAAATCAAATGTATAAAACTACATTCTGAACTTCAAATAATTTTTATGAAATCTTTTTTAAAATGCAGAAACCTGGGTTATACAAGTGAACTTTGACCTCAGATCTCAGTGCAACAAACTTAACTTTGGTGGAAACACTGGTGTCAGTTTCTGCCTGAAGCCACAGCACATCCCAGAATGCACTGTGGTTTGTTCACTTCTCCCCAAGGTAAAACTTCAACAACTGCAGGACCAGCTACAAGCAAAGGCCCAGAGCCTGCAGGGTCAACCCATGATCATGGAGCTTTGCTGCTTGGCTGAGGAACTGTTACGTAAAGAAGTTGATGCTTTGGTGAATCTGTGCTCCACAGATCCAAATATGTTTTACCCCTGTCTTCAACCTGATACAGAGAGTGAGTCTACCTCAGAACGTCAGCCTAACGCTACTCATGGGCCTGATGGTGTTACATTGAGTATGTGTCCTGAAAATCATCAAGCACATTTTTCTTCTGTGATCTCACACACCCAAGTCTGTCACCCAGAGGCTAGTCAGACTAAATACCTGGGCTCAAGGACTTCCAACACCAGTGATACACCTTCTAGACACCTACTTTTAAGTTCTAACATTAATATCAGTCATGTAAAGACTAATGAATCATCTTTAAGGACTAACAACACTAGTCATATACATGCTGTAGAATTGTCCTCAAGTACCTCCCACATTATGACAGCTCTACTTCAGCTAGACCACATGAGAAGTAAACAAAGCTATGTAAAACTGATTAAAAAATGGACCACTGAGCTCTCTCTGACTGGCAGGCTAATATTTCTGCATAAAATTATTCTGATCCTAATTCAAGGTGATGCTAGTTGTATAAAGGTTTGTATTACCTTGTCATGTTTTGTAGACTTTACTTATCTTAATAGTTTATAAGATTTCCAAAGTTGTATTTGTATTAAAGGTGTTAGCTTTGTGTCAGAGATCTGCTTTAATCATATATACAGTTTTCTTGTTCTTAAATCATTTGTTTAAATATTTTTTATCCCCTCATAGCATTTTTTAATTTTTATATATTTGCATTAAAAATAATTTAAAAGGAAGTAGTAATAACAAGTATTAAAATTATTTATATAAAGTTACCTATAATACAATCTTTTACCTTCAATCTATAATAAATTGCAGTTCTTTTTTTGATTCAACATTTAAAACTTCTAAATTTTTTCCATAAAAAATATTTTTTAAAAAATCTGGTAAATATTTTTCTGAGAACAAATTACTTTTCTTGAAACTAAAAGTACAGTTTGTTTGATTAAAGCTTCCACATTTAAATTGTTTATTTCTTAGTCACAAAGGATTATATAATCCGCAATAGGACGTGCAATGTGGATGTGGATTCTAAGGGCAGGAGCTGCAAGGAAAAGATGTTGTCAGTTCTGTGTGAACTACAGACTGAGATATCTAACAGGTAAATTCTTTGTGTCTTAGATTCTCTGTGTCTAGAGCTATATTATTTTTTATATATTTTTTTGAGAATATTTTTTGTAACATTTCTTTACTTTTCTTAGTATTTAAAATATTTAAAATACATAGCAAGATTTCCAGAATAATAATAATAATAATAATATGTTCTTAAATCAATTGCAATCTTTTTTTTTTTAATTTTAAAACCTAAAAACTGTTGCTTGAATACAATTTGCACATTGCAGTCTGTTCTCTGTAAGTAGTGGCTAATTCAGCTAAGTTTACAGAATATATTGTAGAAGATGAGTACTTTGGGGGTCATCCATAAATGATTTCACATAAATCTATGGGGGGGGGGGGGGGGGGGTGTCAAACTTGTGATGTGAGTGATAGAGGATCAGAGAGTGTATTGTCACACATCATCTGCATTAACTAACATTAAGGTGTTGTTAAACATCTTTGAAAACTTTTTGTAGCAAATAAAATGTATTACACTTTATAGTTGTTTTAAAGAAAATCAATTGGAGTTAAAGAGTCATTTGAAAGTGTGGTGTCATTTTAGTCTAGGTGGGAAAGGTTTTTCCCATTTGTGTGAACATCATTTGAAATAAAATGTGATATTATGTATGGAACAGTTGAGCATTGTACCCAGTTTTAAAATAAAGTTAATTCTCAGATTAATCTAAATTTCAGATTTCCTGATTTCTGTATTCTTGAATTGGAATCAGCTACAGAGTTACAAACCCTGTTCTACACAAGTTCACTTAAAGAAATTTTTGATGAGTTTCTGGGCATGTTGGTTCACATAAAATAGAACTATGTGTCAGGTTCTTCTGTCTAGGGGATAATCTATGACAACATAAGACTGTATAGCACAATACAATAGACTCAACAATACTAATTGTGATAATAAATAATAAGTATAATGTTTTAAACATAAAGATAAATAATACAAGAATTATGATACAACAATACCCACACCACGTCTTCTCTTTGTCCACAAATGCCAACCAACAGCCAAGCACTAACACATCTGTCACTCATCAACTGCCACACACTAACACATGCTCTGTCACTCACCAACTGTCAGTGAAAACCTCTCATCTTAAAACACAACAAACAAACCAAGACTACAACTATCTACATAAGTAGGTACCTTACACATGACACGCACACACACAAACACAATCAAGAAAGGTATCAGTGAAGAACTTAACACTAAGAGGACACTGTTTATTCTTGGGAAGATCTTTCTGGGCAAGTTAGTTCACATGAAATAGAATTATGTGATGAAAACAATTTTATTTCTTTAAGTTAGTTGTATGACTGCTGCATCATCCTCATTCCTGTTGACCGCGTGTGGGGCATAGGGAAGCAACCACACCCTCTCTATCATACTCCGTTCTGGACAATTCCTCCAAGTTTAGCCCACATCATTCCACTGATTCTGCTTCACTGACTGTTGAACCCTTCCATGTTTGTTTAGCCCTCTCTACTTTTCTCTGTTCTTGTGTATTCCAATCTAGTGCCTGTCAGGTGATGTTGCTAGTTGTTTACTCAGGGTGTATCCAGTCCATCCCCATTTTCACTTTGGTATTTCATTGCCAACATGGTCTTGTCCAGTTTTTCTCCATACTTCGGCATTGGTAATTTTTTCCAGCCACCTGATATTCAATAAGCAGCAGAGGCATGTGTTAATAAAAGTATGAAGTATGTTATTATTAGTTTGTGTTACTCTCGACATCTCAGAACTATAGCTGTTAAACAGTCGTGTTTTGGAAAGTGTGGACAGTAATCTCTACGACCATGTTGTGTGGAGGGTGTTGAATGCATACCTGGCCTTGCTGAGACAGCTTTTAATGCCCTCATCTGCTCCTACATCCTTGCTTACCACACTCCCTAGATATGTGAAGCAATCCACCTCCGCAATAGTTATTTCTTGTATTGCAAGTCGGAGCTCCTTTTTTTTTTGTTAATCCTTATCACCTCTGTATGACTACTGTATTAATACTGCTGCAACTATTTAAAATTAAGCCCTAGGGGAATTTTTTTAATTGTTTTCATTTTGTTTTCTTTAAAACTGTTGTGTACGTTTAGTGACAGTTACCCTGATCTTAGAAATATGTTGTCACTACCATAAATGTTCAAAGCATAATTTATGCTGTAATGCTCAAGTTCAAACTTTATCATATGATATATGTAAAGTATAAAGTGCTAAATGTGTTTGAACATACATATATATCCTTTGCAATAAAGATTAAAAGCCTCTGGTAAAATACATTGTAATTCATTGACACACAGGTTCAACATATAATCTTTTTGTAAGATTTTAATTGTGTATTTACAGACTCATTAAAATTTGAACAAAAAAATAAAAAATGCAATCTTTTGTGTGATTTTTGTCTATGTTAAATTTGTATTGTCATAGTACCACTTCCTCTGTTATTGTAGGCTGTAAATCTAATACAAAGTATTTAGAAAATATTTATTGCAACCAAATAAAAGTCTCCAAAAATGCATGTGAGACAAAAGTAAAGAAAATCGTAGCAGCATTTCTTAATTTCACTGGCTACACTTAATACAATTGCTTTCTTTCTAAGTGTTGAAATATTTATCTACTCATCATTCCGGTGTAAATCCTTCCAATTATTGTTAGCGAAAAAGCGCCCCCCCCCCTTCCCCACTCAACATCTAGTAAAAACTGGTGAGCGATATTTAACGGTCACCAAATCAGTAGGATATTGCTTTTTTTTATTTTAACGGCAACTGCTACACAATCGTTTATTACCACCTAGGTACGCCACTAGCTAACACTACCACCTAGCTACGTCACTAGCTAACACTACCAACCAGCTACGTCACTAGCTAACGCTACCACCCAGCTACGCCACTAGCTAACACTACCACATATCAACGCCACTAGCTAACACTACCACCTAGCTACGCCACTAGCTAACACTACCACATAGCTACGCCACTAGCTAACACTACCTCCTAGCTACGCCTCTAGCTAACACTACCACCCAGCTACGCCACTAGCTAACACTACCATCCAGCTACGCCACTAGCTAACACTACCACCCAGCTACGCCACTAGCTAACACTACCACCTAGCTACGCCACTAGCTAACACACCACCATCTAGCTATGCCACTAGCTAACACACCACCACCTAGCTATGCCACTAGCTAACACTACCACCCAGCTACGCCACTAGCTAACACTATCACATATCTACGCCACTAGCAAACCCCCCCCGCTGGCGTAGGCAGGGGGGTTAGGGGGGTCATAACCCCCCCTCCCCATAGACCCCTCGGTATATATATAAAGTATGAGGGGGTGCAAATCGAAAGTTTAAGGGGGTGGGGGTGCAAATCGAAAGTTTGAGGTGGGGCTGCAAATCAATAGTCTGAAGGGGGGGGGGGGTGCAAATCGAATGTTTGTCCCCGGGTAAAAATTGGAACCCCCTCTCCCCTTGAGACGATCCTGGCTACGCCACTAGCTAACACTACCACATATCTACGCCACTAGCTAACACTACCACATATCTACGCCACTAGCTAACACTACCACCCAGCAACACAATTGGCTAACTCAAATCCTGGAGACTTAGTAGCCAAATGATGACGTGACTCTTGAATCCGCCTATAATTCCTTGAACTGGGATGGCAGACGTGTGAAGGAGGAAGGTTAAACTTTAATAACTTGACCACAATCAGCACGATCTCTCCTTTAGAGCTAGTCATACTTTAATTAATCATGAAGTCAACAATCAACTTTTCGTTAGCGGTTGCTCTTTTGTCTTTCTACGTTGGTCGAACACAACGTAAGTAATACAGGTATTTTTGTGCTAAGCTTCTGCTAGTACACGTATACATACTCTTTCACTATTATGTTTTATATATACATTATATATATATATATATATATATATATATATATATATATATATATATATATATATGTGTGTGTGTGTTTGTGTGTGAATGAAGTAAGATTTGGTGTGGTGGCATCATAATTCTTTTAGCAACAGATTCATTATGAGTATCGATAAATACCTTTAAGCTCCGCTTGTTTTAACTGTCTTTTTGTGCTAAGCTTCTGCTAGTACACGTATAAATACTCTTTCACTTTAATGTTTTATATATACATTATATATATATATATATATATATATATATATATATATATATATATATATATATATATATATATATATATGTATGTATGTATATAATATATATATATGTATATATATATATATATATATATATATATATATATATATATATATATATATATATATATATATATATATATATATATATATATATATATATATATATATATATATATATTAGCTGCATACCCGTGATCTGCCACGGTACATCTTTTTTAAATGTACCAACTTGGGAAAAGAACAAAACTAAACACAACACAAACACAAAAGAAAACACAAACACAATGCAAACACAAACGAAAATACAAACGCAACACATAAACACAAACACAAAAGAAAAAAACAAACGCAACACAAACACAAAAGAAAACACAAATACAACATAAACACAAAAGAAAAACAAACGCAAATAAAAATACAAATGAAAACACTAACACAATGCAAACACAAATGCAAATGCAAACACAAATGCAAAAAAAGAACACGAACAAAAAAACAAACACTACAATCATAACATAAACACAACTTAAATGCAAACATAAACGCATAGTGCCCACAGTCTAGCCGGTGGCACCAAATGGCACCCTGTCCGAGCGTTTATCGAAGAAAAGACATATCCGCTACAAATCAAACTTCTGAAATCCCAAGGAACGTAATCCAAGGGACATTGACTCAAAAACTTGAAAATCGTAGTCGATAAAAACCTTAATCTTATTTACGGATCGAATGTATTAATCTAATGACATCCACTTTAGGATTTGAAGAACCTCTATTCTTTTAACTTTCTCCAAGCCAGTGTATAATGATGTGGTGATAACGAATCGATCGTATTTATTTGTAGTTTCTTTTTTGATTGTACTTGTTGAAGCTTGTATAAACTTTACTAGTAACACTCTTGAGAATAGCCAGGGGATGGGGGATACGCCCATCCCCTGTTCATTCTTGTATTGGGCTCTAATAATCAGTGTTTCTTCCAGACTTTTTTGTACGGGGGGGGGGGGGGGGCGGACACTGTTAAAAGTATATATTTTCTATATAAATTCCATTTCGTTGGGGATCGGGGGTGCGGTAGACTTTCAAGAGATGCCTGGAAGAAACTCTGCTAATAACAACGTATTCAGGTTTTAAAACAGCCGATACTGTTCTATTCAGTATTATTGGCCGAATCTGATTTTGTAAATTGTCACATCCTGTGTTCTTGAATTCCGGTTTGATTTTTATCGTGATTTTGAATATGAATAAGTCGTGTGTTTTTAATTTATTACCGGGTCTTCAAATAACATCTGGCGGGTATATTCATCATTTAAAAAAGATGTTGTCTATATAAGGATCTTGTCATCAAGAATTAATAGAGCCCACTTCGCCTTCTGAGACCTATGTGGCAAAACTGTCTCTACCAGCGCACGTGATGGAATTCCCAATTTATCGGCGTGCCAGAGGGGTCACCCATGTATGACGACCGTACAGAAAGGGGAGGGGGGGGGGTCCGAGTTTAGTGATTTTTGTGATTAGGACGTTCAAAAATTGAATTTATCCTCTAAACACAACTTAAAAACAAACAAAAACTCCGGATAAGTGAATAGCTACTTTTTTTTTTAAACTTAGAAAATAAAGCAATTAATTAATGAATAATCTGCAAATAACTAATCGCTTAATTTCAAACATTTTAACAAAACACATACAAATTCAACAGTCTAACTATTTCCAAATACATAAAAACATATTTTTTTTTAAAATAATTGTTAATATATTTTAGCCATTTTTTTTACAAGTGTTCCATATGGAAGCAGGATATGGGATAAATGTCTTCTTACAAAGTGACCTCTATGATGAATAATTCTCTTTATCGATGCTTTTTGTTTAATCGAAAGCGGTTACTGCAATACATCAAGGAACACATTCTTTCAAGAGCCCAGTTCCAGATAAATTACGTGATACCATGATGCCAGTCAACCATAAGAACAGTGTTACCATGACGCTAGTCAACCATGACACCACTATTGCTATGAAACCAGTCAAACATAACACGGGTGTTACCATGACGCCAATAAACTATCATACCACTATTGCGATGAAGCCAATCAACCATAGCATCCCTGTTACCATGACGCCAGTCAACCATAATACCACTGTTACCAAGATGCCAATAAACCATAACCTCACAGTTACCATTCGGCCAATGAACCATAGCACCAGTGCTACCAAGATGTCAATGAACCATAGTACCACTGTTACCATGACGCCAATCAACCATAGCACCAGTGCTACCAAGATGCCAACCAACCATAACACCACTGTTACCATGACGCCAATCAACTATAACACCAGTGTTACCATGATACCAGTAAACGTTAACAGCACCTTAACAGTGGCATACAACAGCACTGTTGTAATCAACACAGGGAAAGATAACACAACAGTAATGAATATCACTGGAAAAGCTGTCAACAAAAAGGGTACGTTACAATCGTTGGTCTGTATGTGTGTCTGTCTGCTTATTCTCCTTTCATTGCTGCTTGTTTGATTGTCAGTATTTTGCATGTGTCTGTTTGTTATCTAGTTCATTTGTCAGGCTGTATATCTGCTTATTAATAATTCTTTTCTTTCTCGTATACATAATATAGATATAGGCAATGTATTGTAGTCCTGCCCGAAAAAATAATGAGATTTTGACCAATTTCGCAAATTTATTTACCTCCCTACACTATTGTTTATAGAATATTCAGGTAGATATAGAACTCGCCTTCGGTGATGAAAGCTAAAATTAACCAGGCAAAAAATTGCTGTAGTTTGTTTTTGTTACACGTCGTGTCAAACACGAGCAACGCGTCAAAAGAGTAAACTCGTCATGTCCTCGCAAGTCACATCACTTGGTGCATGCACATAGTTTCTTTCAGGCATTTATTTGGATGAGGGGGGGGGGTGGAGCCTCCCCGAAGAATGTCTACCGCCCCCCAACAAAATAGAATTTATATAGAAAATATATAATAATATACTTTTACCAAAGTTCGCCCCCCCCCCCCTCACCATGAAAATTAAGTCCCGATGAAATTTCAAGTGACTCCCTCCCCTTCCCCCCTAGAGAAAAACGTTTGCCCGCACTCCTTTACACGCAAGTGTCGGTTATTGTCAAATTAACTGACAGCTGGAATGTAA